CAGCCACCCAGCCCACCGCCACGGAGCCCGCCGCCGCCGTCGCCGCCTCCGCCGTCGCCGCCGCCGCCGTCGCCGCGGCCGCCTCCGTCGCCTCCGCCCATGCCGCCACCGCCCTCGCCGCCGCCACCCTCACCGCCGCCGCCCAGCCCACCTCCGCCAAGCCCACCACCGCCGTCACCGCCTCCGCCCTTGTCGCCGCCTCCCTCGCCGCCGCCGCCTCTGTCTCCACCGCCCAGCCCGACCCCGCCCTCGCCTCCGCCCCCCTCGCCGCCGCCACCCTCGCCGCCGCCGCCCTCGCCGCCGCCTCCGTCGCGGTCGCCGCCACCGCCCAGCCCGCCGCCGCCCTCGCCTCCGCCGCCGTCGCCGCCGCCTCCCTCGCCACCACCGCCCTCGCCGCCGCCTCCCTCGCCTCCGCCTCCGTCGCCGCCGCCACCCTCGCCACCACCGCCCTCACCGCCTCCGCCAAGCCCGCCACCGCCCTCGCCTCCGCAGCCACCCAGCCCACCTCCTCCGAGCCCGCCGCCACCCTCGCCTCCGCCGCCGTCGCCGCCGCCTCCCTCGCCACCACCCCCCTCGCCGCCGCCACCCTCACCGCCACCGCCCAGGCCGCCTCCACCGAGGCCGCCACCGCCCTCGCCTCCGCAGCCACCCGGGCCGCCTCCGCCGAGCCCGCCGCCGCCCTCGCCTCCGCCGCCGTCGCCGCCGCCTCCCTCGCCACCACCACCGTCGCCGCCGCCACCGTCGCCTCCACCGCCCTCGCCGACGCCACCCTCGCCGCCAATCCCGTCTCCGCCGCCACCCTCGCCGCCGCCGCCGTCGCCGCCTCCGCCCTCGCCGCCGCCGCCGTCGCCGCGACCGCCTCCATCGCCTCCGCCCATCCCGCCCCCGCCCTCGCCGCCACCCCCCTCGCCGCCGCCACCCTCGCATCCGCCGCCCTCGCCTCCACCGCCCTCGCCGCCGCCCCCCTCGCCGCCACCCCCCTCGCCACCGCCGCCGTCGCCGCCGCCGCCCAGCCCGC